AACCTCTCCTAGGGGCTGTTTGGGATTTGGCACGGTTCCGGGATACGCCCGAATGCAACTTTTGCTACTTTTTCTTGCAACTTTTGCTATTTTCAAATGCAACTTTCTCTGAGCGGGGGTTTGTAAAACAATCTTCATGAACACCATGTCTGACCAACTGGTTTATTTAAAGTGTCTTCTCCGAAAAAAAAACCCCAAGAGGCCCCCCCCCCTCTCTCTAGAACACATCACGCCCACCATGAGAGAGCCAAGGATGACACGTTGTTCCATAAAGAGGAATTTTTTGACAAACTTTCGAAGATATCCTCCTGTCTACAGATTACAATCCAGAAAACGTCAGATTTGCATCAAGTATACATGGAGAACTTTGCAGAGAGAGTGAAAGCCACATTGAGCTATCAAGTGTTCTGCCAAAAGTTCAAGAAAAACAATTTGGGTTCACTTTCAACCAAAAAAGACCAGTGCGACATTTGCATCAGCTTCGAATTAGGAAACCTCACAGAAACAGAATACACAGCTCATCAAATATGAATATGAGGAAAGCCGCAGCTAGACAAGAGAAGGAGAAGGACAGGGAGGCGGCACTGGACCCAGAGAACAAAATGTGTGTCCTTTGTGTGGGGATCCAGTGCGCCCTTCTGGCCTCATCACTAAAGACATCCACCTTATACTATAAGACAAAACTGGCAATACACAATTTTACAATTTAGGACCTTGCCACCAGAGACGCCAGATGATATGTCAAGGATGAAAGGGAGTTGGTCTGAGCTTCAACAGTTCTGACGCACTAACTGATATTGCAAGCGACTGGCTTCAACCACTTCATCATCTGCAGTGAAGGTGCAACTATTAAAACAGAACAGATACCCTGGTGAGTGCAATGGCCTCGCTGGCCAAAGAGCTTAACATCACAGTTGAGCAGAAATTATCAACAAGGGCCGTATCCAAATCGAGGTGGATTCAGTCCATGGCACTATTGAACGATGGCTCTAAAACGCACTGATGTACATCCCAATGGACTACGTGAACATCATGCTCCAAGCCAGACGCATCCCCAAGCTCTTTGAAGTTGTGTACCTGGGCCACAGCTTTTTCAAAGATTTTGCAAAGGTCGGAGAGCACTAAACAATCCGTCCAGGGAGAAAAGCAGGCGATCCTACTGTCACTGACTTGCAGGCATCAAAGTACACTCCATACTTTACAATTCAGTACAAGCTGAACTTTGATGATGGATGGCAGGCGCTGCAAGGACCAAGAAAGCTGAACACCCAATGTACGACGGTTACTGCTGGACCTCTCTGCAAAGACAGATTGAAGATAACTGCCAAACAGTATAAACACCTACAGGAGTTGAAGGCCGTCGTACCACGATGCTACCACAATTACCATGAAACTTTGCCTCAGTAAGAAGTTTTGAAAGCCATCAAGTCAAATTCGATTATTGTTGAGTCTTTCAAAACAATGGTAACTTTTGTCGTATTGCCTTGTTGTAGCCACAGGACACAGAGTGAGACAGGCATGCTCTTCTATTGTTGAGAAAACTCAATAAAGTAGTAGTTGTCAAGCCACGCACCTTGAAGAAAGTTGGCGCATTCTTTGATACTTACAAATTCTTTTTGCATAATAATAATAATAATATATTATTATGAAGCCAACTTCACTCAAACCATTGCTGAGGGAGCAGAGCTTCTGTGTGGCTTTCTGCTTTCTTTTCTTTCTTAGTATTACTTTTTTCCAGGCATTTGAAAGGCCGCCCAGAGCCAATAGTACCGTGTCAGACACTGTCATAAATTCTAAAGGCCTGCTGCTGCTGCTGATAATGCTGATGCTGCTGATGCTGCTGCTGCTGCTGCTGCTGCTGCTGCTGCTGCTGCTGCTACTACTACTACTGTTGTTTTTGTTCTTGTTGTAGTTGTTGTTTTTGTTGTTATTGCTGTAGCTGCTCTCCCTTACCCTACCAACCTCCTGTTCTTCTACTTCAAATGTAATTAATATACCTATTGCTGAATTCTGCTTCTTCTACTTCTATTAAATGTTCCAATTTGTGACTGCTGTTTTTGCCAGAATTGACTCCGTAGCACTGAAATAACAGCAGCTAATAGTATGTTGGTAGCAGTAATATCGTTCTCCTCCTCTTCCTTCTTATTCCTCCTCCTCCTTTCTCCTTATCCTCCTCCTCCTTTCCCTCCTCCTTCTTTCTCCTTCTCCTCCTCCTCCTTTCCCTCCTCCCCTTTCTCCTTCTCCTCCTCCTCCTTTCCCTCATCCTCCTTCCCCTTCTCCTCCTCCTCCTTTATCCTTATCCTCCTCCTCCTTTCCCTCCTCCTCCTTCCCCTTCTCCTCCTCCTCCTTTCCCTCATCCTCCCCCTCCCTTCTCCTTATCCTCCTCCCTTCTCCTTCTCCTCCTCCTCCTCCTCCTTCTCCTAATCCTCCTCCTCCTCCTCCTTTCCCTCCTCCTCCCTTCTCCTCCTCCTCCACTTCCCTCC